TGGTGAGGAAAAAGGAAGCAAGAAAAAGACCCTGAGATTATTTTTAACGTTTGTTTCATTTCTTTTTCTGTTTCAATGTAGTGATTTTTAGTGTTTTTATGCTGTAATTTGCTTAGGTTTTGTCATTGTTAGCATAGTTATAACTGAATATCTACACCTAAATCTACTTTGGAAGTCCCCAATTTCAGAATGTGGTGGGGGCTCATCATGACTGATTTTATACTTTTTCCTAAAATACCACACTTTTTGCCCAGAAATTCTATCATTTCATAATGGAGCAGAAAATATGCTAGAGTGACAAATATAAATTGCCCAATCCAATCCAATCCCCCTCATTTTATACATGATGAAACTGAGGTCTAGAAAAGTTAAGTGACTTACCCAGGGTCACTCACACAGATAGTATCAGAGAGGGGATGTGAGCCCAGGTCAGCATACCATGCTAGTCCTCTAGAGTGATTTTTTTTTTTAATGTGTGGGTCTAAGTGGCTTGTTTTAGAAGCAGTTAGTAGAAATCTTCCTAATCACAGGCATGGTGGCACCTATCAATCAAGGGAAGGATGAAGAGTCACCAGCACCTATATTCAAATCCTGTCTTTGATATTTATCAGCTGTATGACCCTAGGCATGTCACTTAATCAACCAACCTAATTTTCTTATATGTAAAATGGAGTTGAACTAGGTCATCTCTATGATCTCATATAATCCCACTGAATATGACTCTTATATAACTGAATTGAACTACGTTTGCTTTTTGTGCTAGGGTGAATAGGTGCCAATGTTATTTAAGTATTGGAGAAATAGTGCTAAGTGGTGAGACTAGGTTCTCATTTGGTATCCCCCAGACTATGTTTAATGCAGATATTAAAGAACTGCTTCATCAGGCCATGGGCTGTTAGAGCCGGGGGAGATATAAAGTAACTGGCAAAACACACAAGAAGTTTTCTGTACTTTGTGAACTTCCTGGTACTGGGGCATTCCCAGATCCCCAAAGTTGAAACTTGAAAATTAGCTAATAAACTTCCCATGGATGACAAGAAGTTGTGAGCAAATTTAAAATCCTCTTGGTTAAGGATTAAGGTTAAGGGGTTGAGGATGGTATAAAAGCCTTGCTAGGAGTGAAGGTAGAGCACAGTATTCTCCCTAGCAGCCAATGATCAATTCTCTCACCCTCCCCAGCACCAACGCCCTCCTCTTCGGGCAACAGCCCCCTGGCAAAAGCCAATATCGGTTCACTCTATGGAAGGGGTCTTCATTCAAACAGCACTGTGCAAGGGGAGTGGGGTTGCTACCTACCTAGCAAAGATCAAAGGTCAATGAGGTACTAATGCATGGAAAAGCACCAGATCTTTAGAGAGCCTCAGGGGGCCTGCTCTTGACCTTATGGGTATGCTTGAAGATGCAGTTCCAGAAGTCACTGTGCTCAAATGGCTGTAGATGTTTGAAGACCAGTTTGTCAGTATTAGGAGCCCTCAATGCCTCTTTGAAGTTCCTGTTTAACTCCCAGAAAGAAGAGAAGCCCTCGGACCTTGTACAGAGGCTGATGAAACTGCTTCAGAGGGCTATGATCAGATGCAATGCCTGAGGAACAATCAGGCCAACTTCGTTTCTCCGGGGCTTGGCCACCTTCCCCCCTCCGGGGCTTGGCCACCTTCCCCCCACCCCAGAAAGTCTTGTTCTCAGTACATCTGCAGCTGAGTGAAAGGCAGGAACTGTACCCCAGCTCCCCAGAACTGATTTAATAGAACCTGGAGTGTAGAAACGGGGGGAGCTTATGTGGAGATGAGGAAAAGTGGCCCCCTCCAGGGCCCCCAATGGTCTCCTCTTGCACGTGCCACTGAAACCTAAGGAGAAGTCAACCTTTTGATAAAGTCCAAGCCAGGCCTGATGATTACCAGCCTACAAGTGGAGTCATTTCTTAATTGGCTTCCCTTATAACAGTTGAACCAAGTTTAGCTTGTTAATATGCTTAAAGAATTCAGGAATACGGGAAGTAAACAAATACATTTAATTCCCTTATGGAGTGACTTTGGACCAGTACTTAACCTCTCTGGTTAAATACCCCACTTTTAACCCAGTAATTCATAGTCATTTAAAAACAGAGTAGAAAGTATGCTACAGGTATAAATTGTCCTATCCAATCCAACCCTAATTTTATAGACGAAGAAACTAAGCTCCAGGGAAGTTAAGTGACTTACCCAGGGTCACACAGGTATAATGAAGGTGGTCTCTGAAGTCCTTTTTAAGCTCTAAATCTAGGATCCTATATGATCCTATGATGTTCTTATATTCTATTCTCTGTCTTCCTGTTAGTTATTAATAATAACCATTTGTTAACTTCCATCTAAAAGTCTGGCTCTGACACATACGGCCTGGACAAGTTACTTAATCTCCAGCCAACTCTTCCAAACTGTAAGTTACAGATGATCTGCAAAGGTGAAAGGATTTTCCTTACACAGGAGCTCCCTAGCAGATTCCATCACAATTCCAAACCAAACCCTATCTATGTATGCATTCCAGACATATAATGCAAACTTAATGAAATAGTTGATGTTTTTGTCTTCTATACTAAAAATAAAACAATGGAAAGCAAAAAGCAAACCAAAAGAACACTTTGCAAAGATAGCTTGGTAAATGCCTGCTCACAGCAAGGTGATTGTGTACATTATGGTCTGTTTGCCTCAAAGGCTTCAGGACTTTCTGTCCCCCACCTCCCCTTAAAATATAAAACAATACAGGTAAAGGTCATTCTAGGAATTTTTCAGTTGTTTCATTTTGTAATGAGATGGCTTCCATGTATAGAGCCCGGTAAAACTGAGTACTCTGAGGAAATTTTTTCGAAAAGGAAGCTCTAATAAGCTGTCATGTTTTTACAACAATTCAGAAAGTAGTTTGCTGCTATACCTATGACACTTAACACAAACAAATCATAGAACTTTAACTCAGCTCTTCGGATTCCAGTGTTTTTAATTTCACCAGGAGATCTATCTTAAATAAATTACTAATAAGATGCATAACCAAGAGGAATCCATGATTTTGAGTTAAAACCATGTTTATCAAACTATAATTATATTTCAATTTATTTTTAAATGCTATTTTAAAACTATATATTTTTGTTTTATATGAATATTTACAGCTTATTTATTTTGTTAACATTAATTTTCCATGAAAAGAGAAAGCTAAAGACCATATGCAAAATGAACAGAAGCAATTTTATGTCATATGTTAATTCAGAGAAACAATCGGGCTTAAGGCATAGAGAGTTGGACTTGGAATCAGGAAGACCTGCTGACAAGACATTGGGCAAGGCATTTAAGTCCCAATGTCCCAAGCATCTCTCAGAGAATATAAATTATGAATGAATTTTCTCTGTCCTTGTGGTACAGTGACTTTGAGTCAGGATAGACCTGAGTTCAAATCTCATATCTGACAAACAAATCACTTAACCTCTCTCTGCCTCAGTTTATTTATTTATAAAATGGAGATAATAATAGCACCTAATTCATAGGGCTATTGTGAAGACCAAGTTAAATCACGAGTACTGGAGCTTTGCACGCCTTAAAGGTCTATTTAAATGCTAGTTGTTTAGCAGTAGTGGGGGGGGGTGGTCGTGGTGGTGGTGGTAGTAGTAGTAGTAGTAGTAATTGCTGCATTGGTGGAAGGAGCTCCCATACTGAAAGTTCTCCTACATTGATGAAATTACAGGTCTGGACCAACAACAAGACTTAATTAACCCACAAATCTGATCTTCAGTTCTGAAATTGATACACCTTTTTTTTCAGATCTTCAAGTATTGATTGGGCAGTCCTTAGGTTTCGATATTTGTATAAATTTGAGGAGAAACTGAATAAGAAGGACCATTCACAAGGTTAACTGGAGTTTTTCATTAGCTGCATCGAACTCTCATGTCTTCTGAGGACGCAATCAGTGACTGGCTGGCATGCTTCTGTTCTCACTTCCCTAAATAAAGGAAACGAGGAAAAATACCCCTTTTTCCTCTCGGGCTGTAGTTAAGTTTCTGATGTTATCTTCTTGCCTTCTCCCCACCACAGAAGTGTTTAAAAGCTGTGGTAGGTGTCTTCCATCCTCAGCATTGTCAGCACAGAGTAGACACGTACTGTACACGGAATAAATCTGGGGTTTTTTTTTTTGGTTTTTGGTTTTTTAAGACAAAAGCCTCTCCTAGCCCTATATGGAAGTAACACTGGAACAACAATATCGTCTCTATTCAGCGTGGTTTAAGATCCTCTGACCTTAGTATTTTCGGGGAAAATGCACCTTAGGCTTTAAAGAGATACGCACAGCAATTTCACCATAGTTGGGCCGAGGGTGGAAAACTGAATGGGAATCATTGATATTTCCATGGGAGAGTCAAAAACTTGTAGAAGCCTCTTTGCCAAGACGGGACGGGCAGAGGCAGAACATCTGTCTGCGCTTCCCTCGCTCTCCCAGATCTAGCCAGAGCGCGTTTGTTTCGGGGGCTTTGAGACCCTTCTCCCATTTTTCCTTCACTCTTTCCTTCTCCCTTCACCTCCCCTTCCCACTTTTTCTTAAAGTGTCTCTTCCTCCCTTAGGTCCGTGTTTTGGTGTCGGAGGGTGGCTGAAGATAGCAAAGGGGGAGATTTGCACCCACTGGGACCCCCCCTTTTACTTCCTCTTCTTTCTCAGTAGACCAGAGCTGGGCAGCTACTCCTTATTCTCCCGCCCCCACCCCACCCCTTTCTCCTTTTGCATGTTAACGAACCTTCTCACACCAGCACGTGGAGGGTTAGCGGAGGGAGGGGGCTCGCCCTGCCTGCCAGTCTTTCTAGTTATCTCTTGCAGACTGGGCTGATCAGTTCTGGGGGGAAATCACTTTCCTTTCACGCCCTGTCCCTGCCTCCTCCAGTCTCTCGTAGACATGCAGCTGGGAAGGATGCAGGACTCCCCGAACTGCAGCTGAACCGGGGGGCGGTTGGGCTGGGGGTCGGGGAGGGAGGGAGGGGTCGAGCTCCCAGCCCAGCCGCAGAGAATTTAGTGGGGAGAGGAAGAGTGGAGGGGACTACGCCCCGAGGTGGCCGACCCTCCCTCAATCCCTTCGGGTCAAAGGATCCGTCCCCTTTTACCCCCTCCTCACCACCACCCCCCGTGGGCCTGAGGGGCCCATGCAGCCGTTAAGGTAAGAGCCCAGAATCGGGAATTGTAGAAGGTGAGGCAGGAAGAGAGTGGGGTGAATGGGGGAGGAGGGAACTTGTTCTTCCTCACTCTGTCCCGACCCTCCCAGAACCAGGTCACCTTGGAGAGATAGGACCCGTCCTCACCTCCCTCCGAGTTTGCTGACATCCCTGACGGTAGTGTATTTATTCCACACTAGAGTTCTTATCACAGTCGTGGGTTGTGTTCTTTTCTCCCCCAGCCCAGGCACCCCACACAACTTGGGTTTTGCTTTTGCTTTTTTTAGTTTTCCTTGATTTGTTTTATTGCTCTAGTTAGCTTTTTAGTTCTTGCCATTAAAGTTTTTGTGGGGCCGAGTTCTTCTCCCCACCCCGCGAAAAAGAATTCCCCTTTTGCAGTGGGTCGCGATTGGAATAGACCCTGAGTATAGCTCTTCTGCTTATATTGGTGGACTGGTTCTTCTCTCGACTTCTGCTCCGTGATATGTGTGTGCTTGTGTCTTGCTTTTCTTGTCTCGTGCACTACCGGTTTTGCATTGGGGGCTGCTGCCGCACACCTCACGTTTGCAGCAGTCCGCTCCTTGAAAACCTAGAGCCTGACTCTCCCGCGGGAAAACCCAATTGGCCGGTCGGTCTCTGGCCTCAAAACTTTCAGTCTTGTGTGCGTAAGGCCCATTCATTTAGCTACAAAAAATACCCGAGAGGTCGCTTGACCTAGGGCAGGGGGGCGGTGGGGCGGTGGTCTGTGTTGGGTGAATTCCATCCAGCATGCTGTCAGTGGTTTCATCTGGGTAACCCTCTTCTAGGGTTTCCATCCTGTCCTGGCTGGGAAGGGGGAACTTTGGTCGCCGCCGAAGGTATCAGCTAGAACCTTTGCTGTCACAAAACTGTTAACAGGTTCTATGGGCTTATGGGAGCATGCCTGTCAAGGCATCTGCTGCTGACTATCGCGGGCCAGTGCATCTCAAGCGCCTCATTTGCTAATTCCCAGGTTAGCACTGTTAGTGGAGAGGGTGAGGGTGGGGAAGAACAGGTGTACTTATGATACTGGGCAAAAGTTGGGGGATGCTTTGATATCATCGTTGATTGTAACGTGTTGGAATAATTGCATTGCATTTGCTAAGAGGTAGAATCAATTTTCCCCAAATTGAGGTTTTAATGGGAGCTTGTGAGCTGCTATTATATCGTGTAGTTTAAGGTGGCATTGGATTGCATTTATTTTATAAATTGAATATTTCGAAAATGGATTAGGGAAAACAGCTCCATCTAGTGGAAATAATGAGGCAAAAATTCCTTTTAATAATATGTCTGGCACACCTCCACGTACTCTTAAAGTAGGCACTACCGAGAATAGAAGCTGTGTTCGAATGATAACTAGTAGACTGGTCCAGAAATAGTGGTTTTCAATTTTGATAATTTCACAAAAGGTCCAATTAACTTGAGTAAATATCTGATCTTCTGCCAAGATGACATCTTCTAGCCAAGAACCACAAAAGAATGTGAAACGATATTGTACTTTAACAGTCCAATACTTGAGGGCATAGACTGTGGGTTTACAGTAGTCCTTCGGGTCCTATCATTTAGCTTTAGGATTCTGAGGGGAAAAAATTAATTATCCTCTATTGTAAAAAAAAACTATCTTCATGTCGATCTTCTAGGGAATTCTATAATCTGAACCTAATGCTTTTCACTGTTAGTGCACAGCAGAACTATTTTCTTTTTTAGTTTGAAACAGGTTACGTTTGGAATTCTTCATCTATGACTTAAGAAAGTTACAGGAGGACTTAAGGGGTAGATAAGGGAAAACAATAGGAATTCTTGCCATTTTATGAAGGAAACAATCTTTTTAAAATAACTAAGTAAAATCCTTTGTAGCATACATACCAATTGTAGTTTTCCACTGTTTCTCAGCTTTTTCTGCTGTTGGTTGCATGCTTAATACTAAGCTAATTATAACTGCCGAGAGAGAGAGAGAGAGAGAGAGAGAGAGAGAGAGAGAGAGAGAGAGAGAGAGAGAGAGAGAGAGAGAGAGAGAGGAGAGAGGAGAGAGAGAGAGAGAGAGAACCCTTAAGGAAATTGTCAGAGGAAGGTAAGGTATATAAGGAATATTAACTCAAATTTTATTGAGAAATATTTCGCAGGATGAAAATAAGAACAAAGTCTCTGGTTTGGTAGATACAATATGTGGACCTGATTGAACATTCTCCTGTACTTATATTTTAATGCCCTCTTTCAAACAAGATGATATTAACAATGAGTTGGACTCTCCCCTATTTGGAAAGGCATGTCAGAGTCAGAGTCATGGATAGATTCTAACACTCTTTCCCAATTCCATCCCCAATTAAGTGCTTCACTTGCTTATACTATAAAAAGCAGTTAAGAAAGGCAGGTCAATTGGAAGTGTCAAGTATGCAATATTAGAAATATTAGAAATGAGTCCTATTCTCAAGATACAATCTAATAGGATAGACAGGAAAAACTTAAATGAAATATTAAAATAATAAAATAACAAAATATGCACAAAAGAATCTTTTATCACTTCAGTGAAATTCTGAAGGGTTTACTGTCTTTGAAATCAAATGTATTAGAATTTGACTTATAATAAATATCCCAGATGGGAAGAACAGACAGAAAAGTATAATGCTATCTTTCCTAATTATAACTGAAGAGGGCCGCTAAGCTCTCCTACCTGCCTTTGCACATTAAGTTGTTCAGATCCGATCCACCTTTCTCTTCTTTTGACAGTTTGAAGGGATCAGTTTCAGCTTTCCAATCTATAACAACAAAGTGCCAAAAAGAACAGTGAGTAGGACATTTTCCAGGTTGGAGAAGAACTGTGCTGCCCCCAAACTATGTATACAGGTGAGATGGCAGGGACATATATTCCTGCTCTACAAACTAATACAACTTTTAAAGGGCTAGTTAGTCATTTATCCCAGACTTTTCCTCTGAAGGGAAAACTTTCACTAAACTAGTATAATAGAATCTGCTAAAACAGATGTGAGAAGACAGAGATAAAACCCTTATGGTATAAGAATTCTGGATATTATGAGGCAATAAAAGAAATATTAGGGGAAATGAAGTATATATAATACTTTTTTAAAGCATTCATTACAAATCTAAAGCTATTTTGCTAGTTTAAGAATATAAAATGTATATCTTAGTTTGACTATTAGATTTTGTTGAGTTTATTAAACTTAAAAGTATAGTTATACAGATAATTATAATTTTCTTTACTTTAAAGTGTTCTTAATTGTGTGACAAATGGAGCTGCAAGTTAAAATAATCACCTTTCCATTAGATTAAAAGTAATCCTTAGAGCCTTAGCACAAAGTCAGTGCTTAATCAATATTTGTTTGATTGAATCTAGTACAGTTTTTGCCACCTTATAAGTAGGCAAATCCTTGAGAACAGAAGCCATAAACATTATGGAAAAGCAAAGGAAGTTGTTATGGTTTTTGGACTTAGTATTTTCTGTAATGACAAGCAGACACAGAAATGAATCCTTTTTAGAAAAAGAGCTGAGGTAGAAAGGAGAAAAATAAAACTCAAAGTGATTGGTTTGTCATATGGAACTTAATCCAATTAATCTAATTTTCTGAGCTATCATCATCACCTGTTTCTGCTTCTTCTGATGCAACTTCTATCAGAAAATTAAAGATTTCCTCATATTGAGATAAATTTATATGCCCATATAATCAATCACTAATCATTTATTAAGTGCCCACTCTATGCCAGGCACTGTGCAAAATGCTACAGATAGTTTACAATCTAATCCATACAACATCTAGTTCAAGTTAATTTATTGCTTCCCAACATTAATTAATTTCTATCACAAGCTAGAGAAAAGAGAAATTTGCATCAGGAGAGAAGTACAAGGAGTCATAGGTTGGAAAGTCCCTGCCACTCCACTGCAGAAGGGATGTACTTGGCAGAAACCCTGACTGAATACCTACAACTACTCTTTAGTGTATGGCATTTAAAAGTAGCTCACCAACATTAAGTCCCAAATGTCTCCATTTGTTTTGTCATCTAGTTAAATGCAGTGGCAACAACTGGCTATTAAGTTCTGTAATTATAATTGTGTTTTTTAAATAAAAGCCTTACTTTTCCTTTTTCTATAATTGTAAGTAGTTTTTGTTTTCCAAAAATGATTGTTACTATCTGAATCATTTGGTAAGGGACGTTGGGGGGGGGGGAAGCATAATCTTATTATGGAAATATGAGTTAAAGGACTGGGTTTTAGTTCCAGCTCAGCTATCACCCAAACGAGTGACCTTGGGCAAATCACTTAGAATCATGGAACTTCAGAGGTGAGATGGACCTTAGAGATAATCTAGCTCAACTTCTTAGTTTTGATAAATAAACTGAGGCCCAATTAAGTTCATTGGCTTGTTCAAGTCAGTCACAAATGATTTGTTAAGTAGTTAACTATGTGCCACAGCTGTACTAAGCACTGGGTCATAGATGTAGCTGGTGATAAAGCTGAAATGAAAGTCAAGCATCCCTTGATTGCCTTTCTACTGTGTGTCATCAGTTTCCTTAACTTAAAAATAGTTAGACCTGTCGTCTGTAGTCTCTTCCAGCTCTGGTACACTATGATTCAGGGACTAGCTTTAGAATGTTCAGGGAGTTTTGTTATTGAACCCACGCTATGTCCTCATCAAGTATTGTGTTCTTTATGCTTCTATATACCTTAATATCCTCAGTTCTTTCCTGAAGCTTTTTTTCAGCAAACTCTCAAAAAGACATTTCTAGTTTATCTCCACAGAGTGTGTGGCACTGTTGTATCCTTTGCATTCTTAACTTTTTGAAGATAGATAACACCTACCAGTTTAAGGGGTAGCTTTCACTTGCTTTATCACGCGTTTTGTCTAGCTGTAGTTTTCTTAGAAGGTATGCATGGAATCACTGAATCTCAGAATTGCAAGGGATAGTGTGAGGTCTAAATGTGATAATAGATGTAAAACACTTTGCACACTTTAAAGGACTATATAAATGCTAGTTATTACTAGTAGTAGTAGTAGTAGTAGTAGTAGTAGTAGTAGTAGTAGTAGTAGTAGTAGCAGCAGCAGCAGTAGTACTAGTACTAGTAGTCTGGTGATGGCTTCATTTCCTGGGCCTTCTACTGCACTTCCTCTGAGCTCAATCAATGTTTATAAAAGCCTGACAGGTATGTGCTGGAAAATATTTAACAACCTAGTGTGCCTCCCCCCATAAAATGTAAGTATGTATATATACATATATGTATGTGTATATATGTGCTACAAGTGTTCATCCTTCTTTGGCCAAAGAACTCTAATGAAGGAGCACCCACCAGTTCCCAAGGCAGTCCAACCTAATGATGTCATTAAAAAGCAAAGCTAGTCCCTAGGATATACATCATATTATAATAATAAGTGATTGATTATGATTGTCCATGGTACTTTTTTTTCATTGTCAACACTATCTTCTATAGGACAATATATTCTACTTTGCAATGTCCTTTTCAGTGCTTCTGTTAAAAAAAAAAACCTGGTCCTACTGTTGTCATAAAGTTTATGATTCCTTTCTCCACAATTATTTGTCTATCCGTCTACAACCACTCCAACACACAGTGCTTCATTGATTCTTCCTTGTACAAATTCCATTACCTGTTCATATTCCAAGTACAAAAGAGGTTTGTTCAAAGAATGTCTATAGGGCAAATGGTATGATGGTCCTGGTCATTTTAAGACTTCCTGCAAGCATGCATTTTCAGTTATTGACAACAATCCAAAGGAATAAATTGTGCTTACAAGAACCATCTTATATTCAAGCATGTGTTCGTTCATCCTACTGACATTTGGAAATGTATACTTCATTCAACAGTACTTGAAAATTATATATCTTCTCTCCCCTTCAAAATAACTTATAGTGTAGGAATGCTTCTGTATGTTAAAAGTTGGTCTCATGTTGCTGAGGGAGAAAAAAATAGGAAAAAAAAGCACAGATTTAGTGATAACACCTAGTCACAGGGAACTATGAGTGACTTTCTGGCTCAGAAAATCTCTGAGTACCTTGTTAAGGTTAAAGAGGTAATTTAACCACTTGGAATCTATGATCCTATGGAATTAGGAGAAATCAATGACAATTTGTATAGAGTATTAAAATATACTTTAAGAAAATATTCAACAAACATTAAGTGCTTACTATGGAAATATATTAATATGACAATTATTCCAAATTTTGATAGACACCTTTCAGTGAGGAAGCATACTTTCTTTTAGACTTTTTTTGCTCTTGCTAGTGGCAAGATTATGAACATTTGGAGTTAGAGGATATGAGTTCAAATACAGGCTCTGCTAGCGAAGTGGCCTTAGACAAATCTCTTCACACATGCCCCCATCCTTAATTTCATTCTCTGTAAAATGAGAGGATTGGAGTAAGTGATCTGTAAGGATTCTACAATTTTTAAATCCTATGATCCTGTGAATCTCAGGGTCATAGGGCCAGGAAAGACCAGGTGTCAGTTTCCTTTCACCTCTGAAACATTTAGACTTTTCTCAGTTTTTTGGCCTGAGTATTTTGAGCAAGGAAGGAAGTATATACTAATTTCTAGTGAAATAAGTGAATGCTTCTTTTAGTATACATTCAATTTCCAGTCCTATCATACCAAGATATCAAGATAGAAAAGTATCTACCAACCTTGAAATTAAAAACGAGAAAAGGGAATTCCACAAAGACGCACAAAAGTTTTGTTTCTCTTGTGAAAATGGCCATGTAACCTGGTGGCAGAAATAGAATTGGCCTTTGCAGCAGAGGTATCTACTTTGTTTGTCCTCACTGTACTAGAATCATAATAATCTGAAACTGCAACTACCCAGATACATTTGTGATCTGGCCAATTCAGAAATTCCCTACAGTGATACCATTCCCACCGTTTCCTGCCATACCGAACTCTATATGTTGTCCAAACACATGCATGTCATAACCTGGGCCAGGGGTGTGGAAAACATGGCCTCGAGGCCACATGTTACCCACCCCTGAATTCTGGACAATAGACATTCTTTATCCACCTGAGCTTACCTGGGTGGACAGTTAGGCCAAACTCATGAGTGGTTACAGATCTCTTCAAGGATGCTCTGCAGTGTTCTAGGGCCTGATTCAACCTGTCAGTCAACAAGCATTTATTCAACTCTTAAGATGTTACAGTCACACTGCTAAGTGCTAGGGATGCAAAGAAAATCAAACACAGTCTCAGCCCTCAGTTCACATTCTAACCAATACTGTAGATGATTTTACATACATTTCCTCTTGCATGGTTTTTAAAAATCATTTTCTAGAAGTAAAGCCTCAGGAATAACAAGAACTTTTATCAATATTTCAATGGACATGTAATATCAGTTTCCATTATTACAGATGAAAGTCTATCAACTTCCTCTTATTCTGTGTAAGTCTTGTTCAAATCTTTCTATAAATTCACTATAGAAAGTATACCCATGGTACTAGGTGCCTCCCTTTACTTCTTTTAGTATTTCATAAACCAATACGATAATTAGGCTATATATCCTTTATTGCTCATTCTTGATATGACCTCTTTACCTCCTTCTCATGTCATATGTGGCCTTGATGATGCCTTTCACAACTCTTCTCATGTCAACTATTATTGGTAATATGTTGAAGCCTACTCATCCCCACTGCGTGCCTTTCCCTTACCCTTGGGGTCACTTGCAATTGTGATTCTTCTTAGACTAGAATATTTCATAATTTATGCCATATACCATAACTGGGAGAATCTATAGGACCTAAGCATACTTATTATTCTAAAAAGAATTGCATCATCTGTAATGTTTCCATTTTTGTAGGGAAGAGTATTTGGGAGTAAGAGGGAATCAAAGTTC